CTATCTAGAGTCTTTATTGGCTCCCATAACTATAGTAGCTGAGCTCCAGACCAAAAGCAGAACTAGGGGGAAAAAACAAACCAACAAAACAAACCAACAAACAAACGAAAAAAACACCCTGATTTCAATCGAGCGGGACTGGGAGCTATCACAGGATGGTTGCCGGGAGGATTGTCCCAAATACAGCAATCCCTGTCTTGGAGTCTGATGATGGAATACTGGTGACCGGTGGCTTCAGTCCCCCAATATTCCCAGGATCTCTACTGAGCTCTTGGCGGCATGAAGGGTTGGTCTAGGCGTTCCTGCCAGGGAGGCTGGTGCACTGGTGGGTCTGTGCCAGGCTACCGGTGAGGTATGCCTCGAATCCTGCTGTTAGTGCCCAATGCCCGGGGACCGAAAAGGGTTCTGCTGAACTTGCCTCTCTGGCACTGAGGCGTGACGACTTTGGGCGGCAGGCAGTGGCGGGACATCCCTCATGATGGGGAGCGGTGCGAAGTTGGACCTCTGCTCCAGTGCCGGAGTGAGTGCCGACTCCATGCGAAGCGCTCTAAGGTGGTTGTCATATTCCTTTTTTAGTCCTGGGTTTGAAGGACTTGCAAATATGACACTTGTCGCTTATATGCCCTTCGCCCAAGTATCTAAGACAGCTATTATGGGGATTGCTGACGGGTATGGGCTGTCTGCAGCAATCACACGGCTTAAAGCATGCCCCATCCCCAGGCTGAGTGCCGTTCGGGACTAACAAAGGCTTTAAAAACTACTATTAAGGGTAACTAATTCAACTACTAACTATATACAGCTAAATTACAGGTTCTGCAAAGTTCACAAGAATGGAGAAGAATTAATGTTAGCCGAAGCAGAGGACGTTCCAGCACTGTGATTGGCAGGAAGAAGGAACTGAGAGTGGGGGAGCTGGTGGCGCCCCTTATATCGCACCATGTGAGTGCCACTCCAGAGGGCCCTAGAGCTGATCCCCTATGGATACTGCGAAGGGAAAAATTTCTGGCAGTGGTGCATTGGGTGAGTGCACACACCTAATACGGAATGGACATGAGCAAGCACACAAAAGAAGAAGAATAGGTATTGGAGAGTGGTGTACCTAAGGCACATCTGCAGTTGCCATAGGATCAAATCTGATTACCTTTGGGAATTCCTCCCAGATCTCTCAATGGAAGCAGAGTTGACAATCTGTATCTATAGAGATGGCTATATTTGGACAACTACTGAGAAACTGTCACCATATCACAGTGGGTCAGCACCAACACAAGCCATTCAAGATAGTTGAACTCAAAAGGAAACAAGTTCCAAAACCCTATCATGCCTATATTTTTAAAGTCCACATTACACTAACTTTTAAACTGACATGCAGAAGATACCGATTCATGCCAGCAGAATAGTAAAGCTTGCATCTGTAAAACTGTAGGCAAGCTTAATTAGGAGACATTTAAAGATTAAGCGCTAACATAATTTAAAGAATCTTCCTTGGTTTCTGTTACACCTGCAAAGTTCAGATTGGAGTCCAGTTGCTCACTTTCTTCTGAAGTCTACTCTTTGCAATTATTTGGACTTCTAAGTGTCTTTCAATTTAGGACTAATTATTTGAGTAGATACACTGATATTAGCTAAGACTTCCAAATATGCACTCAAAAGCAATATAAATACAGTTTATTCTGAAACACTCTTCAGGAAAACTAGAAAAAAATATCTACCTATTAACTCATACAATAGCACTCTTAGTAGTAATATAGGTTTCCCTCTGCAAATTTGTGGTTAACAGAATGATAAATAAAAATTCAGTTGCATAAGGTTATAGTTTCCTGTTACGTTTAATGATAGCTTCTTCACATTGGGTAAGATCTTTTTCCCTCCCCTCTATACAACCTTGACTCAAACAGCAAAGTACCAGAACCTTACAAACCAAAGATAAAAATGCAGCATTATGATTCATCTTTAGTACTTCACCAGTGCTATGCAAGTTTTCATAACTACAAAGTGGAGAAGCATTGCTACAACAGCCAAAGGTTAATTTTTTGGTAAGCGTCTTATTTGATAAAGTTCTCTGAACACAGATTAACAGTATACAGCTTTTCCATTTACAGAAGCAAACCCTACAGTTAAGGTTACATATGGAATCTCATATGACTACAACCCCATTTTTTCTCAGAATGTTGTAAAAAAAATTGTTCTTTGGGGGCTATAACTTTTCTTGCTTGGTTTTAACCCCAAAAAGAAGAGCTGGTTTGTGCAGTTTTGCCCCTTGATACTGAATATTAGAAATTCAGGCCTTGTCTGCCCTGGAAGACTAATGGATTACCAGAGAATAATTCATGACACCAGCAAATCCATGAAAATTAAACCTGACTAACTGAAGAGTGGCGGTTTTTAAAATATTATTTAAAAGTCTGTTTTATTTAACAAATATTTTTACACGAACACCTAAAACAAACAGTTGAAAGAAAAACTGAACAGTACGCCTTCAACTAAGGGCCAAGAAAGTAATAGTCCATATGCATAGAGTCCTCCATGTCAAAATTCCAGCAAGACCAGACAACTGCTATTTCTAAGGTTAAATAAGCAGAAAAATACCTTTAAAACCCCACTTTTTGTCTGTTTATATATCAGAAAGAAACAAGTGTACAACCCCAAATTCTCTTTTGTGGGTCATCTTCAGCATCAGAACAAGGTAAAACTGTGGGTATAAACAAGTTCAGACTGGAGATTTTAGGATCTTGGAAATCTTTGCTCCATTCAGCAAATTCTAACTTCTTGTTTAAAAATATCTATCTAAATCTTCTGCAAACAGTCTCTGAATCATGTATAAGATTCTTAGCTGCCCAGTTTATCCAGATATGCAGAAAGCCATCTACCTCTAAGCATTAGATGGTTGCATGAACTCACTCTAGTCCTTAAAGCAAACAATCTCAAAAGGATCAAGTTAGTGAAAAGAATAAGCAGTAACATGATTTTATAAAATAATATATGGCACAGGGAAGATTGATTGGGTGCATCTATTGTAGGAAAACCAAGGCCAAGATTTAAAGCAGTGGGTCCCTGAAGTTAAGGTCTTGAGCAAGTAGCCAGATTTTCAATAACTTCAATGGGAGCTGCTAGGTACTCAGCACTTTTTAAAATCAGGCAAGTGACTAAAAAAAATTTTTTTTTTAAAAGCCTACACTTTTAAGCTGCTGTTATTAAGTTTTGAACATAAGAACGGCCATACTGGGTCACACCAAAGGTCCATCTAGGCTAGTATTCTGTCTTCTGACAGTGGCCAATGCCAGGTGCCCCAGAGGGAATGAACAGAACAGGTAATCATCAAGTGATCCATCCCCTGTTGCCCATTCCCAACTTCTGACTTTTGGCCTAAGGGAAAGCTGAGAAAACTAAAGTTTAAGAGACTGCATATGTAACCCACAGAGTTAATTGCCAAGAGATGTCATAGCAAAGAACTTAAAAAGCAAGATTAGACATTTATTCTAATATCCAATACTAGATAGGATGAAAATGGATATTAATATTCACGGTGCATGACAGACTATCAGTTTTCCCCATAGGTCTCTTATTGCCAAACTGACCATTATGCTATATTATTTTAGGTCCATAAGGATTTTTTTATCCATAAGTGTTAATTTCATTGTACACACACAAACTGATGGAAAAAAAATACTTCTACCAATAGTTGAAACTTATAAATAGGCAAAATAAGAAAAATGCTGCTTGAGAACTTACTGGAGTTTTATTTAAGGCTATTTACTTTGTATATTTCGACATATGTTGACAATTTGTGTTTTAAAGGTTATAAAGTTTTAACTTTGAGTCTCAACATCAACTATTATTTAATATTAGAGAGACAAGGTAGGTGAAGTAACAGATCTCTCTCTTCCTTAGATCCAGGAAAGGTACACAGCATCTCAGCTAAATACAAGGTGGAACAGATTGTTTAGCATTACTAGTTAACACTTTAAATGTTCCCTTGAAATGTGTGAAGTGGCCTGTTAACACCCCTCCAGTCACAGGGAGGGAAAGGAAGAGGGGGAGCTAGCTGTGGGGAGGGTTGGGTTAGTGAGTTATAGCTTGTTGTAATAAGCCATAAACCCAATGTCTTTATTCACTAGCGAAGTAAGCTGCATCATAGAACAGACCACCCAAATACACAGAGAAAACCTGCTTATTACAGAAATAAAAAGCTCTCCTACCCCTAGTTGTCGCCTAACACCCCACACTAGAACCCAAATAGCTACAACCCATACTTACTGGGGACCCCATCCTGAAAGAAATCTTTCCTGAACCACCTCTTCTGGCCTTCAAACAACTCCTCAGCCTCTCCAAGCTCATCATCAGAAGCAAACTCCTCACAAACCAGGACACACAAACTCCAAGCAGCATCAGATCTTGCCAGAACAACAGATGCAAAACCTGCAGACATATCTCTACTGCTACAATGATCAACACCTCCCACAACACTTTTTCAAGATTCATGGGTCCTACACATGCATATCACATGTGGTGTACCTCATCCAGTGCATTAATTGCCCTGATAACAACTGTGAGCCATGATGATTAGAGAGGTGTTAACAGGCCAGGCCTTATGACTAGACGGGTGTTAATGGGCCACTTCACCTCAGATGGTCCCTTACATATGCATCAGCTAGTTATGCTAGCTTTCAGAGTAACAGACGTGTTAGTCTGTATTCGCAAAAACAAAAGGAGTACTTGTGGCACCTTAGAGACTAACCAATTTATTTGAGCATAAGCTTTTGTGAGCTACAGCTCACTTCATCAGATGTTATGCTAAACAATCTGTTCCGTCTTTTACTTAGCTGTGACACTGAGTACGTTTTCCTGACTTGAAGAAGAGCTCTGTGTAAGCTTGACTCTCACCAACAGAAGTTGGTCCAATAAAAGTTATTACCTCACCCAACTTGTCTCTCATATCCTGGGACCAACACAGCTACAACACCACCGCATACAACAATGGAAGTTATTAAATATTGTCTGACCTTTAGTATTTTCTGCACCTGTGAAAATAAATTGATAAAAATAAAAAAAATGCTTAAAAAACAAACATGAAAAATAAAATTCTGCCAAGCGTAGTTATTTTCTTAAAAACATAAAAAGACCTTCCCACTGAAGCATCTGCAACTGTCCAGCAGAAGAGATGGACCATTGGTCAACAGACAACTATTACATTCTCAATTGTACTGCCTTCATGAGCACTTTCAATGACAACTTTAAACTCAGTTTCTTCCTTTCACAACAAGGAAGAGAGAGGTAGAGGGGAAGTTAAATGTGAAAAATTATGACCCCAGTCCTGCAAAGACATATGCACCCACTAATAGGGAACTGCTCATAGCGTGGGATTACTTGGTATGTAAGATTTACGCACATGCATAACTTTTGAAGGACTGTTGCCTAGGTTAATAACTAAGAAGAGAACATCTTCAAGTGGAGTTTTACCAGAATTTTATAGTGGTCTGGTTTGTAACTTGTGGGGGCCCTAAGGATTTCATTATTATTTCTCTGTGGGAACTGCTTTCCTAGATATTTTAATACTGAACAGTTGCTCTCCGTTCTTTTCTACCAGCAATGTTTTCTTGGGTCCACTCAAGAAGCTATTGCATCAGGGCCAGGATTAGGTTAAAGTAAGCAGATAAAAGTAGGCTACAGCTAAAAACACTAGTTTGTAACTGAAGGTAATGCTTTTGATGTATGTTAGGCATCAGTTTTAGGTTGAAATGGTTTGCATTGAAACATAGTTGGAACTGCAGTTAAAGGTCACTTTGGTGGCTACATTGTATTATTGGGTCCATTGAATAATGTGTATGTTTTATTCTGCGGTTGAAGCTACTCTACAGATATACTGATGGGGCTAAATAAATTTTCCTTAGAAATATTTGGGAAGGCAGGGAGTAGGTTGCATGATGTCTTTGTACTTTCACAGGGGGCAGGGACTACTGCTCACATAATAGGGTAGCTTCATGAAGCAACACTTTAGAAAAAGTCATTTGAGATCCCTGTGCCTCCAGTTGGGGAAAATACTCTGAAGGGGAAGCATGAGTGTGTGTACACACCCGGGTCGAGGAGGAAGATTACATGCAGTCTCCAGCAACATACCTGTCACAAAAGAATTCAGGACACTAGTCCCCTTTACAAAGCTTCAGCACGTCAAATAAAAATGCAGACCTAAAAAAAAAAAGAAAAAAAAAAAAAAAGACACTGAATTTTAACTTTGTCCCAGGTCAAAGAGTTACAGAAATTAACTGATGCAGAAGATGCGGATATCTGTGGATATAAATTGGTATCCATGGAACCACAGGGCAGCAGTGAAAGGAGCCAAATGTGGAGCGGCTGCTGCTCCAGGAGCCAGTGCCCTGCGCCTGCAGCTCCTTTGGTGCAGCTGTACCACCCGCAGCCCCGCCCCAAGCCCTTCCACGCAGCTATCTGCATCTCCCCTCTGGGGGCATGCGCACCGCATGAACACAAGAGCAAGACCAGGGACAGCTGCTGGTGAACCTGGGGCCCACCTCAGTGGGTGGGCGGGAGGCAGTACTGCTGTGCTGGAGGAGCTGTCAGCGTGGGGTGCTAGCTCCTGGGAGTGGCGGCCCCCACGTTCTGCTCCTTTCGCCGCTGCAGTTCCCAGAAGTGCCCTGTGGTTCCGCTCATACCGATTAATATTGACTGATATAAATTTGTATCTGTGCAAGGCTCTAAAAATTTGAGCAGTCCACCTCTGCCCATGTTGTATTAAATACTAAAATAACCTTGTACTCCAGTTCTCTAGTTTCACAAGGAGCCCTGGTTAAAAGAACTGGTGGGGCAGGGCGGGGGGAGAGGGGCTAGAATCTTAAAAAAGACATGAAACCTTTTTTATATGTGAACATGTGGAACACTCCTTTTCCAGGTCATCTAACAACCAGATGCATAATAGAATATTGGTCTGGAACCCAAAACAAAAAAGTAGTTTCAAATTAATCAAATTGTTGGTGCATGAAAGGAATGTCTAGTTACATAAAATGCCTGGCTGTTTCTAATACAGCCTTGGTAGTTGTAAGTTCCTAAAATTGGCTTTAAAGAGGACTTGCAGAAGCTGAAGTTTCACTTCTGGTGGTGGGGTTTTTTGGGTTTTTTTTCTTCATTTGGGAGAACTTTCTATAGGGATATGAATGTAACTGAATACTTTTGATTTTGGCACAGAAATATACTATTAGTCTCAGTAAAAAAGTGGCATGTAGACAACGCTCAGTTTCTAATTTATGAAGCTTAAATGATTCTGAGTTTTTGATAAACCTTGACCTAGAAAGAAAAGCAGTTGTTTAACAGACTACTGAATATCTTTAACCTTTCATTGCATCTCATAGCAAAATCTGTATTAAATTGTAGGATGAGGTAGTACAAGGAAAGCCACACCACATTCCTCCCTCAAATTCAAGAGTTCGCCACACATTGCTACTATTGTTGTCTTACAATCCTTCTGTAGTGACTTTGTTACAGCTGCGTCATGAATACGCTACAATTAAAACACTATTCTGACTGACACAGAGCACAGTTCCTGCTAGCTAAGTGCTATTTCCCTGACAGTAGGCCTTGTTTACACTAGAGAAGGTTTTACAGACTATTTCTTCTATTAATACCACCAGTTCAGTTCCACCAGCATTTACAACACTGGGATGCATACTACTAACATTTTAGGCACCTTGTCAATCAGCCTTGCTCTGAGTGGTTAGATGACATTGCTTAAAATGCTGATGGCTCATCTATGCTATGGACTTGTCTACACTAGGAATAAAGGTGTATTAACACAAGCATTGAAACCCAAAGTAGACTAGGCAAATTTTAACATGTTAGCTGGTCAGGTTTCAATGTTCAGTTAAAATGTTCAATCTGTACAGGAAGAAAAGGAGTATTAGTGGCACCTTAGAGACTAACCAATTTATGTACAGGGTTTAGTAAGACAATGTACAAAAACAACATACCTGACAATCAGGAAAACATGAAATGCTAATGCCTCAGCCTTGGAGATTTCACCACCTCCTTTCTTGATCACTTTGACCACCACCACGACCAACCTGCCCATCACTCAGGCCCATAGCCTGACTTGAATCTCTCTCTAGGTCCTCATATCCAAGATATATCTAAATATTGCCAATTCTTTCTCTGTAACATCTCTAAGATATGGCCTTTCCTATCCATCCACACAGCTAAAACTCTCATCCAATCTCATCTCGATACTGCAACGTTCTTCTCACCAGCTTTGAAAAATGCAATCTTCCCCCACTCATACCCATTCAGAATGCTGCTGCAAAGATAATTTTCCTAGCTCATTGCTATAACCATGTCACCCCTATCTCTGAATCCCTCCACTGGCTCCCCCTTCTCTGTTGCATTTCCCAAACCTGAAGATGAGCTCTGTGTTAGCTCGAAAGCTTGTTTCTCTCACCAACAGAAGTTGGTCCAATAAAAGATATTACCTCACCCTCCTTGTCACTCTGATATGATACACAGTCAGTTCAGGAGTTGATCAGGAAGGAGCAATAACCACACCCCCTTTCCCTATGGCATGTGAGGGAGCAGAACCAGGACTGAAGGGGTGGGGCAGTGATCCCTACAAGCCCAATTCCCTCCGGGCCATCAGGGAGGGAGAAAACAAGATAAGGTTAATGGGGGCAATGGCCTGACAGACCCCTCTCCCTCTATGACAATGGGATGATCAGCAAGACTTTGGGGGAGGGGAGCAGCATTCAGAGGTCGTTCTTGCCCTGAGAAAGGACACAATGGGAAGAGCAGATCTCAAAGACCGGCCTCCTTCTAAGACGGGCAGGAAAGAAGTGGAGGTAACAGCACGTACACCTGGAGACAGGGATGGGGCGGGGGAGACGCACATCTGGAGACAGGGATGGACGGGGTGCGGCAGGGACAGAGGAATTGGAGGCCGGCTAGGGCTCAGGTCCGTCTCCCGGAGGGGGGAAGCTAGTGAGAAGGGAAGGGAGGCCACAGGCCCGTCTCCCGCGGGGGAGGGAGGGGGGAAGCGAGGGAGAAGCGAAGGGAGGCTACAGGCCAGTCTCCTGCGAGAGGAAGGGGGGAGAGAAAGCGAGGGACAAGGGAAGGGAGGCTACAGGCCAGTCTCCTGCCGTGGGGGGGAAGGGGGAAAGCGAGGGAGAAGGGAAGGGAGGCCACAGGCCCGTCTCCCGCGGGGGGGGGGGGGGGAAGCGAGGGAGAAGCGAAGGGAGGCTACAGGCCAGTCTCCTGCGAGAGGAAGGGGGGAGAGAAAGCGAGGGAGAAGGGAAGGGAGGCTACAGGCCAGTCTCCTGCGGTGGGGGGGAAGGGGGAAAGCGAGGGAGAAGGGAAGGGAGGCCACAGGCCCGTCTCCCGCGGGGGGAGGGAGGGGGGAAGCGAGGGAGAAGCGAAGGGAGGCTACAGGCCAGTCTCCTGCGAGAGGAAGGGGGGAGAGAAAGCGAGGGAGAAGGGAAGGGAGGCTACAGGCCAGTCTCCTGCGGTGGGGGGGAAGGGGGAAAGCGAGGGAGAAGGGAAGGGAGGCCACAGGCCCGTCTCCCGCGGGGGGGGGAGGGGAGGGGAAGAAAGCGAGGGAGAAGGGAAGGGAGGCCACAGGCCAGTCTCCTGCGGGGGGCCCAGGATATTGGGGGGAGGTCGGACCCTGCTTCCCGTGTGGCAGGGGTGGGTGGGGGCGGGGCAGGCTCCCGTGGGGGCTCTGCGACGCTGGGGGGCCGGGCCCGGCTCTCAGGGGGCTGGGGAGCTCCGGCCCGGGCTCCAAGCCCCCGCGCCCCGCAGGGAGCCGGCTTCCCAGGGTTCGGGCCCCTTGTCACCTGCCGCCGCGGCTCCAGTGTACGTTGCTGGGGGCTGGGCTGGGCTCGGCTCAGCGCAGAGCGGGCGGGCGGCCGGGGTCCCAGCAACCCCTGCCCACCATACTCACCCTCCTTAGGGGCCGATCTGGAAACTCCACACAGAGCCGGCGCGGCCCACCCCTGCCGCCCAGTCATTGGCGAGGCCACAGCCCTTCCGGCTCGCTGATTGGACGACATGAATATCAATTAGCAGGCCGTTTGACTTCGCCCTCACCTTCCGTCCGGCCCCGGTGCACGGTGGGAGTTGTAGTTCTCACGGCGTGATGCTCAGGCCTCAGTGTAAGTCCCGCAGTTCCAGTCTAGGGAAGAACTTCGGTGACAGGTGTCAGCTGGACAGAAGGTTTGAATGGGGCTCTCTGGGTGCCTGGCTAGCCCTGGGGCAGTCGGCAGTGTGGCCATATAATATGTGAGCTCCCCAGACCAGCCTGGGCAACCAGCTGAACTAGAAACTCTCAGATGCCAAAGGCTCCCCAGGTTTACCGAGAGAGATGCTGTCCCGCAGAGACCATCTATCGCCGTCCACCTTGGCGACCACAGCCCCGAACCTTCCATACACACTGTCCTTCTTAGCTGTCTCACAGGTAACTTCCAGAGCCCCACCACCACATACACATCAGAGCTAACAGTACTCTGCACTGGATGCTTGGGTTGGGCATGGACCTCCAGCTGGCCCAAATGTGGAATTCCTGGTTTGTGAGAAGTTTCAGCGTTTGAAATTTGGTATCATTCCGAGACTAAGATTGAGAGATCTGGCCAGAGCTGGGTCTCCTTGGGCTTCCAGGCACTTGGCTCCACGGAAATGAACCTGGCAGCTCTGAAAGCCCTGATCTGAGTCAGAGTTCTTAGGGCTTGCAGACTCCATGCTACGGAGCCAGGAGCCAAGCCACGGTTACAGCCGGGTTTCCAGGCCTGCCAAGCTCCTGGCTCCACAGCAAGGAGCTTGGAAGTCCTGGCATGACACATCTGTCCTGGAGCTGTGGACATGGGAGGCCTGTTGTCCCAGGCCACAGGGTTGACTGTGCTGGGGCTCCCCAGCAGACACACTGTCTGGGAACTAGGCAGGTTTCCATCAGAACCCTGGCTGCAAGTGCATTGAACTCGACTTGCTTTTGCAAGAAAATTCAGGTTAGATGAACCAGCATTTTCTGACTAAAAATTTAATTGGAAAATTTCTGACCAGCTTCAGGTGGACCACTTCCTCCTTGAGGTGGAAATAAGGATTCCCTCAGTAGAAAGGCAAGAAGAAACCACCACCATGATGTATATCTTGGATTCTGCCACAATCCAAAACTTACTCATGGAGAGTTGCCTTGGCAGAGTTCTCTAAGGCACAGAAGTGTTAGTGAGACAGTACAGCCAACTCTTGTGATTCGTTGGTGTATTTCGTAAAGCCCCAACTGCTCGTGGCAGAGGTTGCATGAGGCTTGCAGTTTTTACTTGAAAAAAGTAAATTTCTAGGCTAGCCTTCATGTTTATAGAGAAAAGCTTGAAAATGTAAAGCAAGTGCACCCCCTCACAGCTTGGAAACCAGAAGGTAAATATAAAGAATCCAAAATGTATTATTATTTTTTATTAATCTCATGACTTTTAAACCAATCTCATGGTTTTTGGGGGCCTGGATCATGATTTTTGAACAGAGGGAGTGGATGTAGAATTGCCAACTCCTTGATACTGGATTCTGGGGTTGAGAGTAGGCAGTCTAGTTTAAGAAGTTATTTGACATCCAGGAAAATATTGTGTTCCTTGTCTGTCCAATCAAAACAGCTCAAATTTTGAATATTAAATACTTGTAATGAATTAGCTGTGAACATCCCATATGTCAAGAATTATTCACAGAAATTACATAGTGAATAATTTTGAACAATTAATACATTTTGGAAAATCACAATCTGTATACAGACAATATGTGAACAGAAAAAAGAGGCAAAATTTGTAGAACAAATGATTCATTATGAATTATCTACCCAGCTTTAGCTTCAGTTCAATATGATGAGGATACATCATTGTCACAATATGTTGCAATGTGCCAATGCACTGTGTGGACATAAACATACGATGTAAATCTGACACTCAGATATCTGAGATTGTCACAATCAAGGTGGTTAACCTTGGTTTTATCCCTGTGCTCTGCTATGATTCACCCATCACTGTAAAATAATGAGTCTATATAAAAAAGTGAGAATCACATTGATTCATCCCCTAAATTCTCTATTCCTCCCTTGACTTATTGGGTTATCCATTGTGTCCTAAGGTAGCAACCAGGCTGATCACGACTTCTGGTAGGGAATTCCACACCCTAGGGTTCTCCAGTGAGAGCACTCTTCCTCCAGCCTTCTTTGAATTTCATCTGGAGGACACCTTCCGCATTGTCATCCTTGCTTGCTGCTGCCAAGGGCGTGGGGCACAGAAGGAGAGATGGTCACTGAGATAGCTTAATCCTGACTCTTGGGCTTTGAATATCAGGAACAGTATCTCAGAGGAAGTGAGCCACAGTGTGATGGCCTGTGGCAACATCCACATAGCCTTCCTGGTCAGTTCTGTGTCTTTAACTTTCTTTCACTCTCAAAATGCTAGGTACAGCTGCATATTTAAAGGGTGATATTCAACTCCATAACATCTCAGGGTTCTGACTGTTAGCATTACTATTTGTATCATGGTAGCACTGAGCAGTCCAAGTCAAGACTGGGCCCAGTGTGTTGGACAAACACAAAGGAAAATACAGTCCCTGCCCCAAAGAGCTTGTCAGCATAGGCTATTGCTCAACCTTTTACAGGCCTCATTTTCACGGTTCTCTCTCTGACTGATCCCACTATCCAACTCTTTCTCTCTCAGCATTGCCACTACTACTCCTTTCTCCCTGAATTGTTCCTACTGAACTCCTGCCTCAACGTTACACTGGCTTCCTGATACCCTTTAAACCCCATTGGCTCAATAGAACTCTTCAAATCATCTGCAGTATATCCAGAGATGGCAACATTTTTGATGAATTAAAAATACAGCACATTTCATAAGTATTGCAGATAGTGGGAAAGATTTTCACAGCTAGATGGCAATGAAAGAATTCCTTAACCCATTAACCTGGATTTGTGCAGGAAATGGCCCACCTTGATTATCATACACATTGTGAAGAGAGTGATCACTTTGGATGGGCTATTACCAGCAGGAGAGTGAGTTTGTGTGTGTGGGGGGGGGGGGGGGCGCGGAGGGTGAGAAAACCTGGATTTGTGCTGGAAATGGCCCAACTTGATGATCACTTTAGATAAGCTATTACCAGCAGGACAGTGGGGTGGGAGGAGGTATTGTTTCATGATCTCTGTGTGTATATAATGTCTACTGCAGTTTCCACGGTATGCATCCGATGAAGTGAGCTGTAGCTCACGAAAGCTCATGCTCAAATAAATTGGTTAGTCTCTAAGGTGCCACAAGTACTCCTTTTCTTTTAACCCATTAGATTTCCTTTGGTAGAGAGGAGGAATTGTAATGCTGTATGAGCATTAAGAGCAGCTCCCTGTATTTAACGTCAGATACAATCTGATTCAATTTCAATATTTGCAATGGCAATAATTAAATATCTTGTAACTGGCACAAATTTAAGATAGAAATACATTACATATTCTTACTGCTGCACAGATTTTAATTGAGATTTACTTTGCCTCTGGCATTATGCTGACATAGTCTTATGACTCGAAAGTTCATTTATGGAAACAGCATAGAAATTATCATAGATGTCAAATTAATTCTAGGTGACTAACAGCGTTTTGATTTTTTCTGAAAACTGCTCTCTAAAGAGAATAAGGAATCATACTTTCTCTTATCATCACTTTGAGATGAGGGGAATTTGCTTCTTGAGCAACTTCACTTGAGTGGGACTAATATGTGCATAAAGTTAGACCCATCCTTAAGTACCATACTGAATTGGGGCCTAAGTTGTTATAATCATCTCAGTTTTACAAGGGAGACAGAGAACCTGACTGCACTTGGAAAGTTCCTGTATTGGACCCTGGGACACAACCTGGTTTCCTCCCTAGCTCCTCCACAACCAGTGTTGAAACTGGTTGACCTGCTGATATGGGCAGGTAACCACATTCTGTACTTATTGTAAGATCATGGATCCCTATTCTAAACTTGGGTTGATCACATCCTGTGAAAAGCTAAATTGAGAAGTAAAAATTCTGTTTGTTTCACATATATTTACTTTTTATTTCAGAAAATGAACATAGCAAACAACTGGCATAGCATATAACAATGGCAGGGTATACATTCAAAGTCCTCTCTATAACATTCTTACC